GGCTGCCCAGCAGCTGGACGAGCTCCTGGCTGACCTGGGCCACATGCAGAGTAAGGTGAGCCTGGTCCTTAGGGGAAAGAAGGTTGGGGGCCTTGCCCTCGCCCAGCCTTCACCATCCTCCTTCCTGGCAGCTCACAGCTGCAGGGCAGGGAGCCAGGGTTCCAGTAGAGCCCTCCTCCTTGCTGGACAGCATGCTGGGCAGCCTCACCCGGGACTTGCAGGAGCTGGGCATCACAGCGGCCCCCGCTGCCATCTGCGCCGCCTGCTGCAAGCCTGTCGCCAGCAAGGTGAGCCCCATGCCTCTACCCTGGCGTCCCTCTCTCCTTGGCTCATGCCATCCCCTGGAGCTGCTCTCATTGTCCCCCGCCTCCTCGCAGGTGCTCACGGCCCTGGGCAAAGCCTGGCACCCTGAGCACTTCACCTGCGCCCGCTGTGGGCAGGAGCTGGGTGGCCAGCCCTTCTTTGAGCGGGGCGGGCTGGCATACTGTGAGGAGGACTACCACCAGTCCTTCTCCCCACGCTGCGCCTACTGCGCTGGCCCCATCCATGAGGTAAGCTCGCCCGGCCTCCCACACCACCCCCCACACTGCCACCAGCCACCTCACCCTATGTCTTCCTGCAGAAAGTCCTCACGGCCCTGGACCAGACCTGGCACCCCGAGCACTTCTTCTGTGCCCACTGTGGGAAGGTGTTTGGGGATGATGGTATGTCCCAGGGGTCAAGTGTGGGGGTCCTACCCCCATTGCCCTCACCCCCCATAGCCCAGCCCTTGCACCCGTTGCTCCATCCGATATCCTCCATGGTCTTTCCCTTGCCTGCCTTGCCTCCTATCATGGGCACTCCCATGGCCATGCACCGCTGCAAACCTCCCCTCCCAGGCGAGTGCCTATCCTGACGCCCTCCCCACAGGTTTTCACGAGCGGAACGGGAAGCCGTACTGCCGCCAGGACTTCCTGGCCATGTTTGCCCCAAAATGCCAGGGCTGTGAGCGCCCCGTGACGGACAATTACCTGTCGGCCTTGCAGGGCGTCTGGCACTCCGAGTGCTTCGTGTGCGTGGTGAGTGGGCGGTGGGACAGTGGGGACGCGGGGTTGAGCACGTCCCTGAGGCCATGCCAGCCTTCCCCATCTCCTTCCCCCAGGAGTGCCTGAGCAGCTTCACCAGCGGCTCCTTCTTCGAGCTGTTTTTTTTTCGCGCTTCACTTCCCCCAGCGGCGGGGCAGTATCTGCCACGACTGCGGCCGCCCCGTGACCGGCCGGTGTGTCACAGCCGCGGGACACAAGTACCACCCTGAGCACTTCATCTGCACCTACTGCCTGGGTCAGCTGCAGAAAGGCACCTTCCGCGAGCGCGGCAACAAAATGTACTGCCAGGCCTGCCATGACAAGCTCTTCCTCTGACCTTGAGCCTCCCCTGGCACACAGCCACCCTTCCTGCCTGGCTGACCCTACCATCAACATCCCCAGCATCTTCCCTGCCAGGCCAGGCATCCCGGTATTGTCCCTGCTGAGCCAAACATGCCTGGTGGTGTCCCAACCACCAATGTCGCAGCATTGTCTCTGCCAAGCCAGACATCCCGGGCATCGTGCCCTGACCCCCTCCCACAAGACATTCCTGGCATTGTCCCTGCAGCCTGAAGCAATAAAACACCTGGCCCCGCCTTCATTCTGCTCACTGGTGGCTTTGGGGACCAGGGTGCACTGCTAAGTGGGAGGGCTGGAGGTCTCCCCTAGCCAGGCGCATCCACCAGTGCTCCCCACCATCCACAGGCACAATGGGCCTCCATCTCCCAGGGTGCTGCAAGCCAGGGGTGACACTGTCCCAGCTGTGTCACCCCCATAACCCAGAGGAGAGCAGCCTGGGCTCGCTGGGGGAGCTGTTCAGGCTCCAGCCGTGCTGCACCATCAAGGAAATCAGCACCACAGGGCAAAAAGAGCTGCTCTGTGCCCCAGGGAAATCTTTCCAACATCAACACAGCTTCAATAAAAAGCTGGTTTGAAGCAGAAGCCAGAAAACTACTTCCAAAAAAGGTATTTCCACATTTTTTCATTAATTCCAATTTCCTATTTCCACAGAATTTCACAGGTGAAAGCAGAGCAAGTTAACATAGTGTTTCAGCCTGGCTTCAGTATTCCCCAGGAAGGGATGAGCACATTTGCAGCCTAGCCCTGCTCTGCAGGGGCAGCCCTTGCTCCAGAGGGCTCCCCCAGCCTGTTTTTTGAAGGATGCAGTCAGCACTAGAGAAATGAAGGTATTTCTTCACTTGTGCAAAGTCTACCAAGCCACCAGAGGAGAGGGAAAATTCAGGGAAAGGCTTCCGAGCAGGAAGCCCCAATGCACCCTGCAAAAATCATTGGGGGCTCAGTACAAAGCAGTTACAGTGCTTTTCATTTTTCCTCCAATCTTTTGCTAGAAAGAGGAAATGTCACTCCAGCCCAAGAAAGTGCTTGTCACAAAGTGGCATCTTTCAGAGCCACGCAGACAAGCACAGCACTGCCCCGACAGAAGACACTTGGTTCCAACTGCAAAGCTAAAAATGCCAAGGTGTAAGGCACATAGACACACTTTAAAAACTTTATTTATATAAAAAAATCATTTTGTTTTAAAAGCGTTACAAGAGTGTGCACAGGAATCAGACAAGGAATGACTTGTTGCTCCCCGTTCCCCTCTTCCCTAGCCCCTCTCCCCACCAGGGCTGGGGAAGAGAGAAGGAGGAAGCTTTTTTTTTTTTGGTTCATTGGAATTAAAAATTAAAAAAGGAATTAGTGTTTTACATATTTAAAGGAAAAGAGACGAGTTAGACCCCAGAACAAAACCAAACCGAGCTGAGGTGGGGCTGGAGCCAGGGAGGGCTCAGCCAGAGCTGGGAGGTGCTTTTGGGCAGAGCAGGCAGGAGCAAGGCACCAGTTCTGCCTGCTGCAGCCCACCCCTCCTCTTGAGAGCCCACACTTGAGGGGGAGCCCCAAGCTGGGGAGGCTCCTGCTCCAGTTCGTAGCCTCCTACAGAGGCTTCCAGTCGCACAAGGAGCCCAAGGGCTCCCCAAAAGATCACAGCATTTCAAAGTAACCCCACCACCACAGCAGAGAGGAGGAGGAGGATGTGTATGTCCCAGCTCCTGTAGCAGCCCAGTCTCCCCAGGACAGGATGCAGATGAGAGCCCTGCACCCCATCAGTGAGGACAGAAGGGCTGGGATCCCCCCAAAAAACAGGCTCCCAGCCCCACTGCAGACAGTTAAGGCTGCCAGCGGGGAAGGGAAGAGCTCAGCCCTGCCCAAAACCCAGGAAACACCCCTTCCCCAGCAAAGAAGCCAGACAGTACGATTCAAAGAGCTATTTCACAGTGGCAAAAGAAAGGCACATGTCAAGAGAGAGTCAGAGGGGCCCCACCCACAGGCAGCTGGTGCATGGGGGTGACGGGGGGATCCTGGCTCTACCCGCCTACAGCCCTGCCAGTGCCTGCTCCTCACACCTGGCACACAGTGTGCCCCAAGAAGCCTGCCTCTCCCCAAAAGCCCTGCCGCATCTCCTCCTTCCACAGGGATCGATCACCTCCCGCACGGGGAGGCCCATCCCACACCCCCCACACTAACCATCTTCCCCACATAAGGATCCCTCCTCATGCAGTCACCGGGTGGGTGCCAGCAGCCCCATCCAGACCCCTCCATGGGATCCAGAGCCAGATTCCCCTTCCCATGCCCCCAAAGCCTCATCTAGAGCAAAGCAAGAGAAGTTATTGCTGGTTTTGCTTCCCCTCACCCCCCCATGACTCCACTCCAGCCCCCCTCACCCTGGTCCCACTGCCACCAGGGAGGCAAGCTCCCGTTGCCCCCTGGTTGGAGTGATCCCACACAAAAACAGATCCTGTAGGCAACAAAACAAGAAAAAAACCCCACAAAACAAACAAGGCGGCGGTAAGTGAGGTCCTAGTCTCTGTCCCTGCAGACGTCTCTGAGCAGAGGGAAGGCATGGGAGAGAAGGCAGTTCCTGGTCAAGGCAGAGATCCAGAGTCCTTTTGCAGCATCCGCGCCGGCTGATCCGGCAGAGTGAGGCAGGAGGGTTTTACTCTCTGGAGGAAGGAGGTGGTAGAGGACAGGGAGGAAGAGTTATCGGTCGAGGTGTCCCAGAACGGGGAGGTGCAGCGGTCTAGAAGAGGCAGAGTGGCCCGGGCTGCCGCTGGGCCAGTCACTTGGCTGGCTAGTTGGCACAAACAGTCCAGCAAAACAATCCAAAAGTAAGACAAGATAGAAGTCAGTCCATTCCACCACGAAGAGTTTTATATATATATATTTATATATATAATATATTATCAGCCCAAACTGAGTGGAGGCAGGGATGTCAGCTAGATCTTCTGCTGTGGAGAGAGAGAGAGAGACATTAGCATACCCAGAGAGCGAGCGAGCAGTCGAGGCATGATCATGGCCCCAGTGGGTCAGGCAGCGGTTGCAGGCAGCAGCAATCAGCAGAATTTGGTTGGCCAAAGCACCCCTAACAGCACAGCAGGATCTGTCACCGCTGTTCAGCTTGAGCAGGACACCGCGGGACATACCGACACAGGGGAAAACATGGCAGCAGCATCCTCCATGTCCTCTAACTCAGGCTGCGATTCCTGCCCCTCCTCCTGCTGCAGACACATGGGGGTTAGTAGGGGCGATGGAGCAGGGTGGCGGGGTGTTAGTTGTGGGAGCCCAATTCTCCCCTCCTCCTGCCAGCTAGGACAGTTGTGTCACCTCCTGCACCCCAGTCCTGCTCACTCTTCCCTCATTAGGAAGAGCTGCTCACCATCAACGGTGCTGCCTTCACTGGCTCCACATCTCCAGGGTCACCAGATCGGTCCAGTGTCCTGCTGTGGTCCCTCTCATTGAGTGTGGAATAGTTGTCTGGAGCAGGAGAGGGGACAGTCAGTCATGTCACCTCCACGGGATGCAGCATCATCCCCATAGATGTGAGCTCTGCCCCCTCCCAGTACACCAAGGATGCTGCCATTCCAGTCCCTTTCCTACCTGGTCCCATGTTGCTCATTGGGATCTCCTCCCGGGAGGATTTCTTGTCTACAAGCATGGGAAAGCAGCAGATCAGACACAGGCCCTGAAGCCAGGAGCAGCAGAGGAACTGCTGCCTCCCCCAGCTAGAGGCCAGACCCAGCTGCAGCCACAGCACTGTTCATCCAAGGACCCCACAGGACCTGTGTTAACTGCACCCATCATTTTTAGCCCTGAGAAGGCATCTAAAGCCTGAACCAACAGCCTTCTGTGAATAGCTGTGGCTGCCAAGAACACCAGGGCTGAAGAGCAGGGAGGGGACAAAGGCCAGCTGTTCGGGGTACCCACAAGGTGGAAGGATGACAGCGGGGACAGGTGCTGAAGGGAAGGCACGTACCTGTTTTTTGGTTCCTGTCGATGAGAGGCAAGGTGCTGTCATCAAACGAGTTGCCTCCCTGGCTCCGAGAGGCGTTGCTCAGGTTCACCTGGAGCATCAGACAGTGACCACTCACACCCTGGCCCAGACATCCCTTCCCCAACAGCACATCCCACCCCTCCAGCCCCCAGCACCAGGAACCCTCCCACAGCCCTCAAGCAAGGGGCCTGAGGCAGCCAGGGGGTGCTTCAGAGCCCCCAGCTGCACTCACACTAGAGAGCAGAGGTGGCCTGCCTGGACTGGGTCCAGGCAGCACCCAGCCTTTAAGAGCAAGAACAGCCCCAGCTTTTGGGAAAGAAACTGAGCCCTGGAGAACCTTGCTGTTCAACACTGCCCCAGTGGCTTTTAGTGCTGCAAACCTTCCTGCCTGCAGATCTACAGGCTTATGTGTGGGACACAGGGCTTAAAGCTTTACAGTATTTCTTCATTAGTAGATGGCCCACAGGAAGTCTCTACTGAGAAATAACAGAGTAGACACTTTCAAAGGTCTCCAATCCCACCAGCAAGGTAAGAGCTGAAATCCAGTACTGCCGAGCTGCAGGAACACCCTTCTCCCTGCTACAGGTCCCTTACCTACTGCCCTGGCCACAACAGGACATCCCCATACCTGGAAGTCTGACTTCTTCCAGCCTTCCTTCTCAAGGGGCTTCCGCAGCTCTTTATATCCCCAGACTGTTTGCAAGACAAGGGCAGCTGCTCGGACTTCTCTCTCTGAGCGGTTCCTAGAAAGAGGTGAAGGAAGAGATGTTTGGAAATACCCAAGGCCTCAAGGAAGCTCGTGGAGAAGCCCCTTGCATTATTCTTCTTCGAGCAGAGCCTACCCAGATTTGTTGATCAGCACCAACTTCTCAATCCCCTGCGTTTCCCGCAGCTTCTTGGCAGCTTCAAGGTTGTCTACAATTACTTCATTGATGGTGTTAAGAACTGAGACCACTGTGTCCTCGGAGAGGTTTTTGGCTGGGGTCTGCTGGCCTCCAGGCAGGTTCTTCACTAGGTTGGGGATGGCATGTTTGCCTGTGAAGGGGAAAGAGCTGGGCATGAGCAAGCGAGGAAGAGGACTACAAGGGAAAAATCACCGCAGAAGGATCAGGGATGGGTGACCAGTTTTGATGTCCCTCTCAGTGGAGCTCAGCACACACTACTCCGGGAGAGGAGCAGCAGACAGACACTGGGCTGACACCATGCCCACACACTTCTTCAGCTGCCAAGATCAGGAGGAAGGTCCTGCCTAACCCGGATGGATAGGAGAGCATGACGACCTCCCCTCAGCAGCCTCACCTATCAGCTCTTTGTTGCGTAAGTCGACAGCCAGGTTGCGCAGGGCTCCGGATGCCGCTTTCACCACTCGCTCGCTGTCGTGGCTCAGGAGGTCAGCGATGGCAGAGAGCCCCTTCTCCTGGCGCAGCGCCGAGCGGATGCACCGGCCGTACTGCAGGGGAGATGCAGAACACCAGTGTAACCTGGGCAGGCATAGTCTCTCCTCGCTCTCCGGGTTGGGGACACCACTGGGAGCCTTGCCTGCCACCCACCCAGTCTTGCGAACTGAGGGTCCTGGCTTCACCCACAGTGAGACAGACTGCAAAGGCTCCATTCCTGCCCCCAAAGATCCCCTAGCAGGCCAGGCAAGCAGAATTTCCCAGACAGTCTTTCCATACACACCAAGAGAATGCAGGCCAAGGGGCTGTTGAGCAGCCCCAAAACGTCATCCCCTGCCCCCAGCCTACAAAAAGGAAGGAACGGCAGGGAGCTGGCTGCAGGCAGGGACACAGACAGGCAGCCCTTGGGAAGACACAGCTTGCAGGGAGCACAGAGCCCTTAACAGCACAGGAGAGACCAGGTCTGCACCTCAACTATGCTGCTGAACACTATCTTCTTGGGCAGTGAGCAATACATGAAGTGAACAGCCTGAAACAGCAGTCTTGGCCACCTATGGCTCTGCTGGTACCCCAAGGGTGATGCTCCCTGCTCCCCAAGGCCCCCTTCCCTGCACTACAGATGAACATGGACACGGACAGCTCCATGAGGCACTCACCGTCCAGCTGCCAGCACACAGGTTCTGAATGGCGCCTGCCGAAGCCTCCAGGATGGCTGGAGTCTTGCTCTCCTTTAGGAGGGAGATGTATATCCGGACCACTTCTGGCTGGAAGAGGAGCTCGTAGCCTGCCAGAAGAATGCAGGTAGGAAGCACTCACTCAAGGGTTCTGCTAGCATCTAATTCAAAGGAGCACTGCTGGGCAGATGAGGCTGGAAGCTTTTACCCAGGCTCGCTGCTCCCTGGAGGCTGGATCATTGGTGGAGAGGGGGCCAGGCTGCCCCACAGTGGCAGAAACCCCATCCACCAGCACCAGCCCTGATCAGGGATGCCATGGCTGCTGCCCACAGTCCCCAGCACATCGCTGCAGCTCAGAAGAGTTTTGGGCTGAGCTGCAGCATCGCTGCCAGCGGCAAGGAGACCTCAATTTCAGCGCCACGCCTGGCTGAGAAGTGCCCAACCCAGGCAAGGACACGTGGTGGGGCAGCAAACTTGACAGCTGGAGACGTTGCGGTAGCAAAAGGCTCAGTCCGCACTCTCGGTGGGAAGAAGGGCAAACACCCTGACCAAGAAGCCACCAACACCATGTTGAAGAAGTGTGGGTTCAGCTCATCCTCAGAGACTGCAGGCACCAGGTCTCCAGCTCTCCACCACCCTAGCAAGTAGGCAGGGATCAGGCCTTCAAGTATTAACTCTCTTCCATGGAAACACACGCCCAGAAGTGACTTCTAAGGCAGCCACAAGACTGCAGTTTACAGTTGCGAGGCCAGGTTTTCCATCCTGTTCTCTATCCTCAGCTGTGGCAAGGCAAGTCCCCAGCCCCCAAAGACAGAGCTGGTGGCTTCTTGGGCTTCCACAGTGCTGCTCGCTCTTCCCACAGCCCAGGTCAGCCTGAAGAGCCACCACCACAGGTTTTTGCTGCTCACAAGGTCAGGTCTGTCCTAAGTTTCCTCGTGATCCTTCTAGCTTGACTCTTTGTATCCCTGGGAGCACCAGGGTCCTCCCAGGAACCACAGGGTGTTTTGGGGCAGAAAGAGCTGATCTTGAGCCCTGGGCTAATGCCCACTGCCTGGCCAGCCAGAAAGAGGCTGTGATTCACAGCCCTCCAGGCAGCGAGACATTTGTCCCCAGAGGCTTCTTGGAATGACCCACACTGATGCTGGAGAATGCTTTAATGCAGAGGTTTCTGGCTTTAAGTCCTGCCTGTTCTTCATGCCCAGGAGAGAGGAGCAGGCAAGAGGGCAATTGTGCTGAGAAGTCCAAGACCACCATAGAGTGCTACTGTTCCTAGGGCTCTGCCACCATGCTGTCCCTCAGTCCCTAAGGCAACGGGTCCCTCTGCAGCCCCAGGAAGCCTGTTTTGAGGCAGCACTGACCTCCTCCAAGCACAACAAGCACCCTCACAACTGTGGCAGAGCTAGTGTTTTAACAGGCACCTGGGCAACCAGAAACATACCTCCTCCAAACCAAAACTCTGCCCATTTGAGAGACTTGCTTCAATTGGAAGTCAACTCTACTCACTCCTCTCCTGGACTGCTTGTGGAAAAGCAGCCCTGCACACCCAAGCCTTGCGCAAACATACAGAAGAACACACCTTTGGCTGGAGTTGTTCTTCTGGGAAAATCCACTGTTTCAGCACCAGGGTCTTCTGGGAGCTTTTTACCTTCAAAGGGCAAGCAGAGAGGCATAAGACACCTCCTTTCCCCACCTGTCTCAGCCCAGCAGCTCTTTGCCACTTGCTGCAAGAACAAGCCCAGAGGTGAGCTGAAGCTAAGCTACCAGCATGTCCCAGGAGGGGACATCAGGGGCATTAGCCACACCGCAGGCAGTACGCGCCCAGCTGGAGGTGGGGTGGGGGGAACAAAGAGAGCTAGAGAAAGCACCCAATCAAATCATGGAAAAATTTAAACCAAGAGCACACTCACCTCTGGAGAACCATTCGTCTATTGGCGAAGCGGAGAGAAGGACAGGAGAGAAGGGAGGCAGGAGGAGAGAAGTGCCGACAGCATCATGAGGCAGATCATTTGGCAAGAAAGCAAAGGGAAGGGGCAACACAGGAGAAAAGGGGAGGTGTGGAGTTAGTGGACATCTATCCATCACCATCCCACCACCACAGAAACCCACCATCAGCTTGTGTCAAATGCTTTGAGTAAGCCAAGCGGTAGCTCCCAGAGCCAGGGGAGGCATGGACCACTGCGTCTCCAGAGAAAGGTGCAGTTTAGACTTCACACATGAGATGCCAGGGTAGGAGCACACAGACCCCAGACCACCCTCAAGTTCCACTGTAGTAGATCTGTCTTTATCCCACCTCCCTCCATGCTGCTGCCACCCAACAAACCTTTGCCCTTCTTGGCACCAAAGCAGCTCGCAGCGTGGGGTCCAGCATTGGTGGCAGGGGCCAGAGGTGTCTCCTGGTAGCGCTCGGCATGGGGAATCTCTCGGTGAACTTGGTAGGACAAGTTTCTCAGCAGGCACACACAGTTCTCCACCAGCTAGAGACAAAGTCAGATAGTTTGACGTGGAGCAGCACATTCCCATTGCACGTCTCTGAACGAGGGCCTCATCACAGCTTGCAACCCAGAGCCAGGCCAAGGGGGTCTGAACTGGGATCAGAGGGATACACAGCTCCATCTCAGATGGAGCTGGAGCATGCCCCCGTCCCAAAGCAGGCATGGCCAGTTCTGCAGGCATGAGTTCATACTTTTCTGGGCCAAAATCACTCTGCTATAAGCACAAAAGGTCCAAACAAAGGCTTAAGGAAAACTCAAGCCTCTCATCAAAGCAGATCAGGAAGCCTTAAGCCAGGGGATACCAGCATGGGCATGAGCAACACCACGAGATCCCTGTTGGAGAGCCAACATTCCTACTGCAAACTGCAGGCTGAGTGCCAGATAACTCCTGGTCAAGCAGTACCCAGGCCAAAACCCACACAGCCTCTCTTCCCAAGTGGAGATCGTGGAAAGGTGGGAGTATAGAGTGGGTTTTCCAAAGCTAGTCCTGTCAGACCAAATCCCTCTCTGGTGAAGATATCCCCTCCGACCTGTCCATTCTTCATTTGACTTGGGATGAACCCAGAGCCAGCCACCACAAACAGCAGAGCACTGCTAGAGCTGGTTGACAAGGGCAGAGCTCTACATGTGGCCCAATGAACCCCTGCTGTGGTACCTTGCTGTCTGAGTCCTTCTGGCCAATCTCAGACTGGACAATGTAGATCAGGGCATCCACCAGCCCGTCACATTCCCGCAGCTTCCGACGGGCCTCGCTCCGCTCAGAGCTCACATTCCTGGGAGACAGGAGAACAGAGTCATGGGAGGCAGCTGAGGGCAGGCGAGGAGCAGCCCACGCTCAGCAGAGCTCAAGCCAGAGAAAAGCTCCTGTAGCTCCCCTCCACCAAGAGAAGCTCCTCCAAAATCAAGGACTGCATCACCAGCAGCTGTCCTAGGAGAGCAACTCCTCCACAGACCTCCTTTGGCAGTCCCAGAAAGCTACCAGGAACAGCTATGAAGGAGCATCACAGCAGCCCCAACTCATGCCAGCACTCTGCCAGCAGCTGGTAGCCCCCGTCCCATACCTAAGGCAGCCAGCAGTATTGGTGAGCACCGACTCCCACTCGATATGGCGGGGTTTCGAGTCCTCATTGGGTTCCCGCTCCCAGCCTGAACGGGGAATAACCACCTCATCGGTCAGAGCGTGTAGTGCATGATCCACAATGGCCATCTTGATGGAGTCGTGCGAGGACAGGTTCCACAGTGTTCCTGCAATGCCACAATCAGGAGGTGATCAAATCAGACCATGTGGGCTTAAAAACCCACACTGGGCATCCCTCACGACACAGATTAGTCCCTCCTCTCCTCCCTGGAGCCATTACCTGTGATGACCTCTGTGAGGTCCATGTCATGGGCCTTCCGCAACAGGCGCACCAGAGCAGGTACCCCATCGCAGTTCTTGATGGCAATCTTATTGTCTTGGTCCTTGCCAAAGGAGATGTTCTTGAGGGCTCCACAGGCACCATAGTGCACCTCTTTCTTGGGATGGTCTAGCAATCCCACCAGCACAGGAAGGCCCTTGAGCTTGCGCACCTCCGTCTTCACCTTGTCGTTACGATAGCAGAGGTGCTGCAGGTAGGCGGCCGCATTGGACTTGACGGCGTCGAGCCGGAAGCTCAGCATGGCTATTACCTCCGGCAGCTCTGGCTGGCGCCAGTTACCTGGGGCCGGACCTCCCTTCCGCAGGCTGTCCAGACTAGCCAAGCTACCCCGCTCATGCTGAGCCAGAGGGGCCCAGTAGTACCGGTCAGGGGCCACTTCATCCACCAGCATATCTTCATAACTCCTAGGAGAGAAGACAGCAGGCATTGGCACGAGCCCTAGACCTAGGGGGGGGATGCTGTGCCCCCGCCAACCCACCAGAAGATGGGCCAAAGCGCACAGGGTGTCTAGACACCACTACCCTCCTGGAGTGCGAGGCAGGCTCCCATCGAGGGCTGGGAGTCAGGCGGCAGAGCAGCATTGGGGCCCCTTCCTGCTCCCCACACAGGGTCCAGCCGCAGCCCATAGCTGCAGAAGGCCACCCCCACATGTCCCCAGGCCCGCTCAGGAAGCGGCACTCGCTCCCCAGAAGAGGGCAGCCTCCACAGCTCTTCCAGTCCCTTCCCACCCACAGACCGGGTTTAGCTTTGCGTCGGAGGCTGGTTCCCAGTCTCTGCACAACCTCCGCGGAGGCAGGAGCAGCCCCGAGGCACAAAGCGCCACTGGGGCCCGCAGCCCCCAGAGGGCAAGCTCACCCCCGA